AGGTGCTCCATTCTCACTATCACCTAGAGAGCCCCTTGGGTGGTGAGGGGAAGCTGTGGGGGCCTGGGTTGGCCTTTTTTTTATGTTACTCTGAAGTTTGGTTCATGCAGCTGGGGATGTTTAGTCTGGAAAAGGTGTATGACAGATGACTTTAAAAGTGACTGAGAACTGACGTTTGGTAGAGGGGCTAGTCTGGTTCCCCTTGTCCCCACGGGCAGGCCTGGGGAGTGGGTGGGTGCCCCAGAGGACCAGAGTTAGGTTAACCTCATTGTATGGGAAAGCATCCAAATAATCAGAGCCAGAACTGAGTGGAATGAGCCACTTAAGGAGAGAGTTATCCTTGCAGTCTTTAAGCAAAGATTTAATGACCACTTACCAGGTGCTTCACCCAGGGTCATCCTCTTCTAGGTCCAGCTTGGACTGTCTGTCTTTTCTGGGCACTTCCAGCTATGAGAATAGTATGGTGCTGGCAGCATGGGGGAGGAGAGAGAAGGGGGGAACTTTGATCTAGCTTGGCATAGAGTTCTCAGAGTCAAAGGAAGCAACGGAGTTAATGCACTTTGCCAGCTTTAAGGGAGGATGTGATTGAAGATATTCCCCCAGATCTCACTGTAGTGTGGCCCCTTCCCATGGTGCACCAGGATGATCCCAAAGACCTTATGTCCTGGTCTGCCTTCCAGTCACTGGCCCTGTATTCGACCTTTGGAAAGTACCCCTGTTATGTCACACCCCTCAAGGGAGTTTGCAGCCCACAGGATCAGAGGTTCTGAACCAGAAGAGAGTTCAGTCCAACTCCCCCTATCCCCTTTACACAAGATAAAACCACGGCTCTGAAAGAATAACTTGACCAAAATCACACGATCAGTGAGCAACAAAGCCAGGATGTGTACTCAGATCTTGACTCTAAATCCAGTGCTCTTTCTATTACACCACATTTAAGGCATTAAGAGGAAAGCACATTGGTCAGGGCTTAGGGGTTTCTGGGCTCTAATCCCAACTTTCTGGCCACTTGTCCTTGTTAAAATAACTCTCTGTTTATAAAGAGAAGAGACTGGACTAGGTGATCTGAAAAGTCCCTTCCATCTCTAAGATTCTATAATTCTACAATTGTATTCTATAGTCTGAAATCTGGTCTCACTCTGCCTAGCACATTTCATCTGATTTACTCCCGTTCTCATTGGGAACCTCTCCTTCCAGCCAGACTGGTCTCATCCTCACACTCTGCCCCCTCTAAGCTTAGACTCAGTCTCCACTCCCCACCCCAGCTATCCAGCACCAGGCCAGCCTTCAGTGGCCCTCTTCAGCCAACTCCTTCCAACCCAACCCAGGTATCTCTTCCTTCTCATATTCCTCCTGTACAAATCATTTTGGCCCTTAATCATGCTCATTGTCTCAGATCACCTGTTCCACCTTTGTGCCTGGTTTCCCTGAGGAGATGTTAAACTTCTTGAGGGCAGGAAAATGGATGCATTTCTTTTGTAATAACCTCCATTCCTGTTCCTATGCTCCTCAATTCTGAGCCCATTGTGGATTGGTAATACAGCCTTGTTGTTATAGAAGATCCCTCTATTGGTAAGGGCATGTGGCCAGGTGGATAGATAGACAAAACTTATTTAGTACTTACTGTGTGCCAGGCACTGTGATAAGTGTCCAGGATATTAGTAGAAGCAAAGAAAAAAAATGAAGACAATCCCTACCTTCAAAGAGCTTCCATCCTAATGGAGTTGGGGAAGAGGAAAGACAATCCATACCAAGGGGCTGGAAGGGAGAAAATTGTGGAGAACAAGGAATGGGATTGGGAATGGCCTGGTGGTCAAGGCCAGGATCTCATCAGTCAGAAGAGAGGGCTGTCACTAGGGGGAGAAGGCTTGTAGGGAAAGGAAAGGAGAAATGATTAGCAGATGCATCAGCAATATTTTGCCTCTTTGGAGAGTTCACTCTGGATCTCGGAGTCAAGCAGCAGGTAAAGGGCTGAGCTGCTACCACCCATCTTGCCATGTTTTTCCTCTCCCCTAATAATCCAGGCTCTAGCCAGAATTAGACTCCTTCTCAACTACATGATTCTGCTCGCTTTCTGTTTTCCAAACTGAGGCTAGCTGGGTCCCAGTGTATCCTTCTTCACCTTCCAGCTCAGAGTTAATTGCTAATTTAATTTAACTGTTTCTATTTCTGACAGCATTGTACGTTGTTGTATGTTGTGTAGGAAGACAATTCATGAAGAACATGGCTATAATTGGAAGGAACGTTATGTTTGGAAGCACACCAATATTTGGATGAAGGAAGGGTAATCTCAAGGGATAGTCTGTTATTAAGACATCTAGGAATATGAAACATAACCTTAATTTCTCATTCAGCTGCTTCTATCCATGGAATGTGGAGGGCTAATGGGATGGGCAGTGCAAGGATGAGGGGCTACTTGGGGACCCATTAATACCAGTCAGAACTTGATGTTATGCAAAGAGAGTTTTTTGAACATCTGGTTTTGCCCTCCCAAATGCCCTAAGGGAGAGGGGGCTGGTTAAAAAGGGAAAGGGCCATGTCTATGCAGTCAGTAAACTGTGAGTAGATCACTGTTTCTGGGACCATAGATTTAGTGTTAAAAGGTACTATAGTCCAGCCCATTCATTTTACAGATGGGGAAACTGAGGATAAGGAAGTTCAAGTAACTTTGCCCTAGGCATGGGTCAGGAACCTGCAGCCTTATGGTTATATGTGGCCTTCTAAGCCCTTAAAGTGCAGCCTTTTGACTGAATCCAAATGTTACAGAACAATTTTTAAAAAAAAAAAATCCTTTTAATTAAGTGATTTGCTCTGTAAAGTTTGGATTCAGTCAAATGGCCGCACTTAAGGCCCTAGAAGGCCACATGTGACCATAAGGCTACCCGTTCCCCACCCCTGGTCCAAGGCCTCCAAGGTAACATATGACATAGGTGAGATTTAAACACAGATCCTCTGATTCCAGAACTGATGATCTTTCCCAGGTGCTCCCCTGGCTCCCTCAAGGAGGTCACAAAAAGTGGATAATAACCCCCCACTACCGGCATCAGAGGGTTATAGTGAGGAAAGTGCTCCGTAAGCCATTATTTCAAGGGTCTGTAATTCCCTCCCACTTTATAATCCCTCTTCTCTCACAGATCACAGCCCCCTTGGAAGGTTTTTGGGAGGTATTGTGGCCAGAAAGTCCATCACCTGGCAGCCAACCTGCATATGAGCCTCTGCAAACTTAATCCTGTCCTCATCAAATCGGCATCTTACAGCCCCATCTCCCTGCCCATACTCAGGGCCTTTCTGAGTGGGTAGAACCTTCCACAGCCTATATCCCACTAGAATAGAAACTCAAGAACCTAGGTGGGGACCTCATTGAATGGTGCAGGCAGGAACAACAGGCAATCACTTGCTAACTGTCCACAGAAAAAGGATCTGACTCAGATTGATGAAAGATGAGGTTGAACAGGTAGGGAGACCCGTATTATAGAAGGCCTTCGAAGCCAGATTGGGGAGTTTAGACTCTATTCTATGAGCCATGGGATGGTTATTAGGGATCACAGAATAGTCCTACCCTCACATTTTTTTAAACCAATTTTGTAGACGAAACCCAAAGAGATTAAATGACTTGCCCTGGGTCAAACCTTTTTTTTTGGGGGGGGACAGAAAGCAATCAGGGTTAAGTGACTTATCCAGGGTCACATAGCCAGTAAGTGTCTCAGGTCTGATTTGAACTGAGGTCCTCTTGACTGGAAGGCAGGTGCTTACATCCACTGGCTGAGTAGCTGTCCCTTCAGGCATTTTTTTCTTTTTTTAGCTAGACAATGGAATTAAGTGACTTGCCCAGGATCACATAGCTAGGAAGTGTGAAGTGTCTGAGGCCAAATTTGAACTCAGGTGCTTCTGACACCAAGGCTGGAGCTCTATCTTCTGTGCCACTTACCAGCCCATAGGCATTCTTTTGAACTGAGAATTCAAACCTAGGATCCTTTCCAAATTCCTGAAAGTGACCATCCCAGAGGGTAAGGGATCTGAGATGTCATCTCATAAGTCTGGATCTCCTTTGCACAGAGCACCCCTTGATGATGCTGGTGAGCACCAGTTCCCTGTTTTCTGCCTCACTTCATGATATTTGTTCATTTCCTCTGCCACATCATTGATTTTGGAATTGGAACCTTGTGTTGTGAGTACTTCCAAAATGCAATTTCTTTTCCAATTACAAAAATGGGAGGCGTTTCAGAGAGATGGTTGTTTGGGACAACTCTGATGATGTAAGATGCTGAAGATGTCAGTAAAAATTTATTTTTCAAAATGCTCTGTGACCACAAGGGTAAAGCAAGCTGAGAAAAATCACGGCAAGTGAGTAGTTAGGATTTGAAGAGTGGGTAAAAATAGGACATTCTGAGGCATCGGGGAATTACTGAACGGCCCACTCAATGACAGAGATTCATTCTGCAGCTTTGTCTCAAACCCTCAGTGCAATAAAGGGTTAGAAATACCGGACTTTAGAATGAGAGACAGCGGGGTGGGTTTAGAGAGGAGAGTGGAGGGAAGAGGAGGTAGGGAAGGAAAAGGGATGGAAAGATGAAGAAGGGGGAGAGGAGAGGACAGGACAGGGAGAGAAGAATGGAGGAGACAGGAGTGGAAGAGGGAGAGAGGAGAGGATGGGGAGAAAAGAGGAGAAAGAGAAGGAGGAGAGAAGGGAGGGGAGGGAGAGAGATGGAGACAGAGACACAGACAGAGACAGACAGAGAGCCAGACCCGCATGGGAAGCAGAGGCGCAGGACACAAGGCTAGACCCTCCCAGGAAAGCAGAGGCCAGAAGGAAAAGGACTCCTAGCAGCCCATCCCCATCCCGGGGCGGGGTCCGCGCGGGCGCGCTCCTCCTCCCCGCCCCCGGACCGCCACGCCGGGTCTTGGTGGGGCTAGCGAGCGCGTTCCCGAGTCTGCGGACATCTGTTTTCACTTTCGCCTTCGCCGCCCCCTAGCTCGGGCTGTGTCCCCTCCCCCCCCGCAGCCTTCCCCCACAGCCCCCGGCGCTCCCTCCGCGGCCATGGAGGCGCTCAGAGCCCGGGTGGTGAGCACGCTGGACCGCCTGAGCCCACCCGAGCTGGAAGAGTTCAAGTTTTACCTGAGGAGCTCCGGGAAGAAGCCTAGGATCCCGATGGAGGACCTGGACACGGCCCCCACGACCTCGGCTCTGGCCGATCTGCTGCTCAAGCGCTACGTCGTGTCCGGGACCCCCAGGGTCTTGGTCCGGGTGTTCCAGCGGATGCGCCGGAACGACCTGGTAGCCGAGTGGGGTAAGGTGGGGTGCAAGCTCGGGGCTCTCCTAAGGGGGGGCGGGGGCGGTTCCCGCCCTCTGGGTTCATCTCTGGGTTTATCTCGCGCCGAAGCCCTCCTACTCCCACCTCCACTCCCCACCCCCTGAAGAATCATCAGGTTTGACCGTCCCCAAGCTCTTCAGATCATCTCATGGGTGTGTCCCACGAGACCCCTGGTAAGCTAAGCTACTGCTCCAGGTATTCTTAGCTCCGTTTTACAGAGGAACAAACCGAGGCTTAGAGGGTGACTTCCCTATGTTTGGTCACCCGGCTAGTGAGCTACCAAGCAACGTAATTTGCACAGGTAGTGAGAGTCAGATGCAGTGCTGGATGCTAGAGCTTTACATGTCCCCCATCACCTTGCTGCCCCCCACCTGTCACCCACGTAGAAAAGATGGAGAGAGTTTAAAAAGATCAGGGGCCCAGATGGGCGTTTGGAGCTTCAGTTGAAAAGATGAGGACTTGAAATAACCAGGAGATAAACAGGAAGCCAGAATGGGAAACTGCTATTTATTATACAGAGTACTAGACTTGTCCAAGGTCACTTAGCTAATAAATGGGGCCTTCTGACTTCTAAACCAGGGCCCTTTTTAGAATACCATGACTCCCAAGTGCTGGGCCCCAAAACATCAATAGATTGAAGATTCATTTTGATAACTCTATAAGAGATTATTCAGGGGACATCCCCCCCCCTTTCCATTCCAAACCAACAGGTATTTAGTGAGATTCCCTTTGTTGAGCTACATGCTAGGCAGGGTGCTAGATACCCGAAGGACTTTATAATCTATCTGATCCTTGGAGTTTATCCCTAATCTTTTGAGATCATTAGCATGAAAGATCTCCAACAATATTTACATGCTGGTGAGACAGGTCAAGTGTGTGGCATATATTACATGTATTTGGCATGTAATATGAATTCCAGCACTGCATATTGTTGTTTGTATGTTGTGTCCCCTGTTAGAATGGGAGCTTGTTGAGGCAGGCAGGGATTCTGTTTTTGCCTTCCTTTATGTCTTGGGTGCTTAGCACAGGCTTGGCACTAGGGAAGGGCTTCCTGCTTGCTGACCATAAGGAAGGACTTTGACAAAATAAGTGGTCCCTGCCAGCTTGCTTCATTCATTCAGTATGCACTTACTATATGCTAGGTGCTGGGGATACAAAGCTAAAACCAATTTAGCTCTTGCTTTCTAGGAGTTTACGTTCTAGGGAAAACAACATATACACAGAAAATTAAATAACAATATATACAGAGTCATTTCTGAGGTGACACTGGCAACTGGGAGATCAGGATAGGGAGGGGTGGTGTTATTCAGGGGACTTTTCCCTCCTTCTCCCTCACTTACAGAGCAATAAATGAGATTCACTTTGGTCAGCTAAGCAAGGCAGGGATTCTATTAAGTAGAAGGGCTCCATAGGCTGGGGAAAAAGCCTGTGCAAAGACCCAGAGAGGAGATGGAATCACATATAAAGGCCAAGCAGGCTAGAATGGCTGTAGTAGAGTAGGACGTGCTAAAGGGGTTATTGTCTTCATTTTATATGGGAAGAAACTGAGTCTCAGGGGAAGGGACTTTGTGATCATCCAGCTAATAACTTCTACTGGTGGGATTGAAGGTGAGTTTGTCCTGACTCCAAGTCCAATAGTCTAGACAATGTACCATGCCACCACTTGGGTAAGCATTTGGGTTGGGCTTCAAAAGATAGAAACCGAGTAGAAGAGGAGCAGGTGGGAAGATGTCTCAGGTTTAGGTAACAGCATGAACAAAAGCATGGAGGTGGTAGAGTGTAGCAGGGTTTGCAGAGAATGGCCCAATGAGTGTGTGATGCAGGGTCCAACCCCAGAGCCAGGAGATGGAGCTGGAAAGGGCCAGATTGTGGAAGAGGATTGTGTCTCAAAACTCAGATTAGTGTTGGTGGACTCTGTTTTTGAAGGGGTTTCCCTTTTGGAGTTATCAACAGGTCTGGGCAGAAACATTTTGTTTGAGGACATGCTGCTGAGCTGTCTGAGCAAGGTCAGTCAGGGTTGCAGGGTCTAAGGGAGACTGTTTCAGGGACCTGTCATTAGCCCTCAGGACTGTGGGATCCTGGAGTCCCAGCTTGATGAAAGAAGTCAGAGGAGCTTTGTGCCCTCATTCAGCAGCGTGTGTTCAAAGCACTTCCTCATTTACAAAGGGCTTTTCTCACAGCAACCCCGATGATACAAATATTGTCATTTCCATTTGACCCCTGAGCATCTCAGGGTTCAAGTCACTAGCCCAGGGTCAATAATGCTAAGTAGCAGACCTGCTCCCTTGGTGGGGATTTGTTACATGTCAGTACAAATGTTTACACTTCAAATGGGGACTTCATTTATGGTTTGTTGGTTGTCTAGAGTTAAGAAAGTGATGGAGAACATATAGTAATTCTGATTATATAGAAGTTATATAGGAGTGCAGGGTATAATCATCCCACCCACTCTATACCACCTCCCCAAGCTGGTTCATATTTCCCAGCATGCCACTTGAATTCAGATCTTTTAATTCCAAACATGCCCTTTCCACAGCTGACTTTCTCAGTTGGAGATGCAGCAGTATAAGTAGACTTAGTAAACTCAACTTCATCAGAATACTTGTGGGAGAGGAGCCAATCCTCATTCTGCTTGGTCCCGGGGGCAAACAAGACTATGGGGGGGGGGGGGGGTCCCAAAAGGAAAAGTTAGGCTTGATGTAAGGGGAAATTTCCTAGCAATTAGAGCTGTCCAGAAGTGTCATGAATGTCCTCAATGAGGCTTCCCCTCACTTGGGGGGGCAGTATGTGTGTGTGGGGGCAGCATCTTCAGTGGGAGACTAGCCTCATATGAGGGATATTGTAGAAGGAGATTCTTACTCAGGTTAGGATTGTAGTAGAGAGCTTTTTAGCTGCTGTAGGCTAAGTGCCTGGTGGGCATATGAGAAAAGAGTCAAGTGAATATTAGGCTCAGAGCTTTAACGCTAAATCAAACTAGGACTACAGAGGAGTAGAAAACCTTTTGACAGGAACCTTATTTTCCCTTTTCCCTCCTGATTTATGCCTTTAATTTCCCCCCACCCACTTTTCTAGGGAGGGGGTGATCCCTGTAGACTCTGTAACAAGAAACATTTCCCATCTTGAGGAACTGTAATCAGTATGTGTCATGGCAGCACAGACAGTTATGGGTGAGCCCAGCTGGATTGTGTTTCCAACCTCCAGTTCTCCCTCCTCATCTCTACCTCCTGGCTTCCTTTAAGTGTCAGCTCAAGTCTCCTCTTCTACAAGAAGCCCCTGCCTATCCCCCTTAATCCTAGTGCTTTCTCTTTGATCAGAGCTTTAATGTAGCCTGATTTGTTCCAGCTGTTTGCATGTTGCCTCCTGTATTAGATGTGAGCTCCTTGAAGGCAGGGATTGTCTTTTACCTACCTTTCTTTGTATCCTCAGAGCTTCCCCCTGCCTGGCACATAGTAGCCTCTTAGGAGATGTCTGTGGTATGTCCAGTTCAGAAGCAATTGGTGATATGGGACTGGAGGTGAGGAGAGAGGCCAGGGCCATATATGTAGGTCTGGGAGTCATCTGCACCAGTCCCATGATTAAATCCATAGAGGCTAATGAAGCTACCAAATGAAAGAATAGTAGCTGGGCCAATCTACCAATTGCAGAGGGAGAGCAGAGAAGCTGCTCCAGGACAGAGCCTTGGGGTATTCCAACTGTAAGGAAACATGAATATGGATGATGGTGAAGCGAAGGATGCTGAGAAAGAGCAGCCAGAGAGAGGAGAACCAAGACAGGCAGCTAGTGACACAGTAGATAGAGCCTTGAGCCTGGAGTTCAAATCCAGCTTGAGACACTTACTAGTTGTGTGACCCTGGGGAAGTTATTTAACCTGTTTTACCTCAATTTTGTCAACTGAAAGATGGGGATAAAATAGCAGCTCCCTTCCTGCGTTTTTTGAGAGGATCGAGGAGTAATATTTGTAAAAAGTGCCTAGCATACAGTAGGCACTATATAAATACTTTTTCCTTTTCTCCAGCATTACAAAACATCGTGTTGGACGTACTACATTGGTGGGCACAGATTCCTCGCAGTTACCAGCATCAGATATTGCAGAGAGATGAAAAAGGTGAGGATTGAGAAAATGCCATCCTATTTAGCAATGAAGAGGTCACTGGCAAATCTGTAAAGAACAGTTTTTGTTGAATGATGAGGCCCAAAGCCAGATTACAAGGGGTTGAAGAGTTAGTGAGAGAGGAGAGAAAGTAGAGAGGATGATTGAAGACAACTGTGTGGCTGAAAAAAAAAAGAGAGAGAGAGAGAGAGAGAGAGAGAGAGAGAGAGAGAGAGAGAGAGAATGAGAGCACAATAGCTAGCAGGGAAGGTGGAGATCTGTGGAAGGTGGGGCCTATTTATAGACTATAGGGAAGGAACCCACAGATAGGAAGAGGTTAGAGGACAGAGGAGGATTAATGATTGTAGGAGAACATTGGAGGGAATGGAGTTAAGGAAATGTGGTGAGAGATAGAGAAAGAAGATGTGGGAAAGCAATAAATAAATAACCCTATTCTTCGTTCTTTTTTGGTGGTCCATTTTCCCTGAAAATAGTGAGTGTTTTGACAACGACTTTGAAGAGACAGTATGAAAATGATGGCCCTGAAATGGTAACTTTTTATCTAAGCCTTGATAATGTAACTAACGACCACATGGCTTCTCATTCAGGCAACTGGCTCCTTCCTGTAGGTGTAAAAAGGGAGATTTGTATGTTGTTTCACTCCCTTGTTCAAAAAAACTCCACTATCTGTTTATTCCCTTTGAGATACCATAGATCTGCCTCCGATCTAACTCTTCAAACTGATTTCATGTCCCACCCCTTCATACATTCTCTAGTTAAGTCAATTCCCCTGCTAGATATTCTACAGAATCAGCAGAATTCCACCAGACTGTCTCCCATTCCTGGAGTACTCTCTCTCTTCACCTGCACCTCAAGGAATCCCTGGATTTCATTCAAAACTCAGCTTAGCTGCCACCTTGTACCTAAGGCCACCCCCTTCACCCCAGTGGTTGGAGCTCTCCCAGTATAACATAAACTCCATGGGTGGCAAAGACTGCGATGTTTCGGTCTTTGTATGTACAGTGTCCAGCACAGTGCCTAATGTAGAGTAAGGACTTAATAAATGCTTGTTCAATCCATTTATCTCATTAGCTACTTAAACTGGGAAAGAGAAGAACAGTTAGTATTCCCATTCCTCCTGCAGGCAGCTAGGTGGTGGCTAGGACAGAATGCTGGACCTGAAGACCCAAGGAAGACCAGAGTTCAAATCCATTCTCAACACTTGCTAGCTACATGACCCTTGGGCATTCAAATCTGTCTATGCCTCAGGCCTTTCATGTAAAATGATGATAATAACACCTACCTTTTGAGTTTTTGCAATGATCAAATAAGATGGCCTCTTTAAGTACTGTGCAAATCTTACAATGCTATATAAGTATTAGATGTCAACATTCCTGTACCCCTTTTATAGCTGAGAAAACAGGTTGAGAAGTTACCTGATTTGATCAAGGACGCAGTTAGGAAGTGCTAGACCCCAGAGCTAAACCCAGTTCTGTTGAATCCAAATCCTGTTGTCTTTCTGTTTTCCTAGAACCACCCTCATTTCTACCTTTACCTTCTTTGTCCCCTCATTACTACTTTGTTATCTCCCCCATGTGGAAGCAAGGCACCCACATCCCACCAGAGCTCCTAGGAAAGGGGAAGGATTGGGGAATCCCTGCTGCATTGCAGAAAGAGGCTGAGGGAAAACTTAGGGAACAAAATGGAAGACACTGGTGGAACTGAGGCATGGTATCTCTAAAGAGTGTGTCCTCCTCAGTGTCAGTCACCCAGATCATCTTAGAGGCAGTAAAAATGGCTCCCTGCCCCCAAGAATCCAAGAGGTGGTGCTAAACCAGCTACTTTATGGTAGGGCAACCAACACCTAGCCCCTAAGACCTAACCAGTTGGGCCATATTTGTCCTCTTAGCACAGGACTGAGGGTCTTGTTGATGCTTTCTGGGAGGAAGGGTCTCTCCTGCTCCCCACTCAGCTCCCAAAGCTAAAATGTCAAGGAATGCCAGGTTGCTGTCTCGTGCCCCTCCAGCTCTTTCTGAATCTCTTCCTTTTGGTGGTGGGAGCCTCTGGACTAACTCCTGGGAGCAGGAAAGAATAGGGCCACACCTGTCCGGGGACTTAAGTGTCATGTTCTCATTGGAATTCTTGGGGCCATAGCTCTGGGTTGGGGAGATTTGGGGGACTTTGTAGTCTATGTGTAATCCACTGAAATCTGCTGAAGTTCCTGACTTGTAGAAAGGATGAGAAGGCTCCAGCCCCTGGGGAATCCATGCTGCTCTCATTCCTGTTCCCTCACAGGGTTACCTGTTCCCCAGATAAACTCAAACCCAAGCCCTGCCTTACCTCA